TTATACTATATCTTGATTATAGAGCATTTTTTATTATAATTTTTTATTTCCCTTTTTTTTTTTCTCCCTTAATATGCATAAATAGGTCTAGGATTATTCAAGCTAAGATGGATTTAGAGATGTAATATTTTATATTTTTCATGAATAAGTTTAGAGATTGATTTAAGGAGTCAGTTGTTCGAAAAATTATTATGTGCGGACATTGGATGACATTCAAAGATAAATTAGAATGTGTCACGCCATTTTTTTTTGTTCGGTATAGGTGTTTGGTACCGCTATGTACCGGGTCATATGCTGTATTCTGGTTGATCTTCGAACTGTCTGATATCCGTACAGAATAATTTCTTCAATTGATCACGCTACAAAAAACATAAAGTAAATAAAGGAGAAAGAATGACAATTTAGAAAGAACAAATAGCTTTTTTTTTTGTAACTAAATTGTTTTGAATTTATTATTTACGACTGTTAGGGCATCTCCAACTGGGCGCTAGCACGCGAGCGGCGAAGCCGAAGCTGACTCTGCGCCTCTGCCGCGCTGACACGCGAACCGCGAAGGCGCGACTTGACGCGTCGGGCAATCCGGAAGTCGACGCGGGCAGCCGGGCAGGGATCATTTCCGGGTCGTTTTTAGGTTCCCGGGTCAACCCGAACCCGATCCATTTCATAAACGATCGACCTGAACCCGAATTTTTTCTAATAGGGTCCAGGTCGGGTCAAAAAATTGACACCCCTATATTCAGACCAGTATGAGAGTTCAATTTATTGTCTTTGTAAAGTTTCGTTAGTTTTCCCGCTCAGACGATAGGACAGGGGAGATGATCATGTGCACAACGGACGATGATGAGCATGGACTGTCTCTCCGAGCCATTGATGGTCTTTGGGGCAACTTGGCTCGCTTTTGTGACTTTTCTGGACGGGCTGGAGGCACTGTGAAGGCCAGTTTTGCTGGGTTACTCTGTCGTTTACTCAGATTTTGTGGGCAACCAGTGCCACCGTCTGCTTCATTTAGTTCTCGCCACTGAATTTTTGATGATTGAGACAGTGCATTTATTCTGAGTCTATATGTTGTTGCCTTTTTCATTTCCCAGTTCTGCTATTGTCTTTGTAATTTTGTTTAGTTTTAGCTCTTTGCTTTTTCTTTACTTTTGTTACTTGTAATCTGATCTTTTTATCTTAATATATGGGCTCTTTTGCCCCGGGTTTTCCCAAAAAAAATAGGACAGGGGAGATCAGCGCTGCCTTTGGAGGTGGCGAAATGGACGCGGTTGTCTTTTCCTTTTGCAGATCGCTCGCCGCCTTCTGCAACCACGTAGAGTCAAGCTCCCAAGCCCTGTCCGATTCCGTTCAGAGGAAACCGATTCCCCTTGGTACTCTCTTGATTTCATCATCGATTTCGACTCTGCAACCCTAATATTTGATGCATTCACAATTTCCTTTGCTCCCGTATAGATTCGGCTGCTACCGCCTTCTTACAGTCACTGGAGCGCCGTATCTCCACCACGAGCAGCGATCTTAACCTGCTCTACTCCATGGCGTTCGATACTGTCTCCTTTGAGGAGTTGCTTGGTTACTGCAATGAGGTCTACAAGGCGAACGGGAAATACATCTGTGAAGTTGAGGATCGCATGAAGAGCTTCGGATACGATCCTGGTACTTCGATTTGAAGCCTGAGGCGAATACTTTTTTTCTCTTTCTATGATTATTTACGTTGAGATTGTTTCAGATACTGGGCTGGAGGATGAAGAATATGACGATTTTGGTGCCGATGCGAGGTTTTTCATTACCAGCAACGGCTTTGATGGAACGAGTTCTGCTATGAGGAAGCCCCTAGTGGAGGATGAGCTGTATCCTTCCTTAATCTTTCTTAGAGGGGGAGGATGTGGTGGTGTGTTGCTTCAAGTGATCATTGATGGTGGCTGTGGCGAAGGCGATAGGCTGGAGATTGAGCCAATTGAGAGGAAGTGGCTGCGACTCAGGGGTGCATGAATGTGTGATTTGTTTGGGGCTTTACTTTAGGATTTATGTCAGTTTTTAATAAAAATACATATAAATTGAGTGAGGCCTCACACCAATGAGGCGAGGTAAGGTGCGCCTCAACCAAGGTGAGGCGCAAGCCTCAGACATTTTTCATTGGAATTATGCTCATATTGCGCAATTTCAAACAATGATCTTGACTTGATTTACTTGTTTTTTCTTAATACTTTGGAAGATTCAACGATTCCATTTCTTTGGAAAACCTTGGACTTTCTGAAGCTAGCCTTGCTGCTTTAGCCTCTAAAGGTTAGTAGTAATCTCTTATGCGTTTTAGTATTTTGGCTTTAGTTTTTATTTCTTTTAAAATGCATGTTGTTGAACCGATACTGATCTATTACTTTTATCATTATACATCAAGTCAATGCTTCAGATTATCTTCCCTTTTTACCTCCTAGTTTCCCATAAAATACATTATCTACAAAATTTCCAGAAGTCGTACTAATCTTTTGCCTACTGTTCGCATTTATTGAAGTATAAATTTACATATATATGTAATTTTATCGTATCCCCAAGTTTTGATATCTTATTTTTTTTGTAGTTTGTAATTGTTACCTAATCTAAATTATCTCCTTGCCTAAATTATTTATAATAAGAAGTTACATTATTTATTATTGACAATATTCTTCTCATCTGTTATTTTTTTTTTCTGTTCCTTTGCCTATATATATATATATATATATATATGATTGTATTAGTGTAAAAATTGAATAAAGTAATCCTTTAACATCCTCTCTTCCCCTTCTAACATGATTTTAGAGTTAATAGTTTAGAATCCTCATAATCTTCTTTAAGCATCTTCACATAAACGCCACACTCAAATTTCTGAACTCCACTGACTTACTCTCATACATAACTGCAACCCTGTTACACTATACCTACTTCTCTCTCCATGAGATCCTCATCATTGTTGTCAACCACGAAACACTTGGCCTCAGTTTCTCGCAGATCTATATACTTTTTTGGTGCTTTGAGGCTATGTTCGAGCATGAAACTGTCACATTCATATCCTAAAACATTACGAAGAGAGACGTAACTCGTAATTCATATTTGATATTCTTGATGAAAGAACCTATTCAAGCAGTTAAAAGAAAATTAATAAAAAAAACTGCATGATACTCTTCGGTAAAGATTATTTACAAGCATTTAAATATTGCATCAGCTGTAGTTAAAATATTGTTTCCAAATTTCAACTCTATAATTGAATTCTTTTTTATTTTTTATAAAAACAGTCTTTTCTTCGGAAAATCCTTCTTCCTGAAATGAAACCTCTTCCTTTTGAGTAAACTATCTTCAAAATCCTTTTCTTATTTTTTTTAATTGTCGGTTTCTTTTCTTCTTCAAAAACTTGATTAGAAAATATTAGAACTGATCTTTCTTCATTAGATTTAAATGAAAATTTGACTTTTAATAAGACACAATGAAAAAAAAAAAATTCATGTAGCCGACCCTACATAGTGCGATAAAATTTTGATGTTTTTGTTGTTGTTATTGGTTTCTTTTCTTCTTGAACGTCATGTCTTAAATTCAAATTGACCTTAGGCGAATTCTTGATCATTGTTTTGTTTTGCATTTGCAGACAACGAATTTTCAGCAAGCATAAACATGACTTCGCAGGAAATAAAAAGGTTGACTTTTAATTTATACTGTCATACTTTTTAATTTCTCTTTTTATGCCATGTTTTTTTTATCTAATTTTTTGTTCGTTTTATTTAGTTATGATGATTTTCAACCTAGTCAAAAATCATTGTTTAATGAATTTACATCAGATTCTTTGGATTCAACAGGTATTGCAATTGATCCTGTAATTGAATATCAATGTTGAAACTCCTCTCATTCTTTTAGATTAACTATCATGCCCGTTTTCTAAGAAACATGATTCTAACAGGTGCTGCATACATGAAAGCTGCAATAAAGATTTCAGAGGATGATTATGATAAACTTCCTGCGTTTATGAAAAAACTATCATCAAGGGAGGTATGAAATATATTATCTTTCTATATGGTAAAACAGAGTGTATGTAATGTAGGATGGTATGTAGGCTAAAGTTTACTAATGTTATCTTAAGATGAGATGCACAATAAAAATGCATTAAAAAATCATAATTTATTTGTTACCAACTCTTAAATTAAACAAAAATTAGTCATCTTAACTATTGATACTTAAATCGTTTTGATGTTATTTTTTTATGAGCCATCTCGTGATACTCTGCTTCTAAATGAGCTATGAAAAATTTTAATATAGAAGCAGTAAATATGTGTGTTTTATTTCAAATAATAATTTAATAGGCACCAAAATATAAATTCTACAAAAAATAGTGGATGAATTTAAATTTTTTGCAACAAATAAGATCCACAGTAGAAAAATAAATCAATCATGTATCATCTAATAAAATTTCAATCATACTTGTACACTAGCCATGAACAAGTTAACTACGAGAAGAAAGATAAAAATCACTATAATGTTAGATTCAAGCCTCACACTAATTAAAAAAATTTGACCCCATAAGCAGTCTTCAAAACATGTGATGCACTTGAAAAATTTACATCAAATCAACAAACAATAATTGAGAAAATTTATTTTGTTTTATCATTTAATATTCAATATTTTTTATAGCAGACCCCATATAGTGGGATAAAGAATTGATGTTGTTGTTGTAGTATTTAATGTTCAATATTCTTTACATGCCTCCTATTTAAAGCCCATAAATAATTCAAAATTAAAAATTCCTAGCACCTTAACAATAGAAATCAGATTTAGATTTCGTAATTTCCATATGGTTTTATCTTGTAAAAAGTAAAAGGAAAAGGCGACAACGGGACTGTAGGCAAGGCAACACTACAAAAGGCTCGAAGGACTTAGCAATCTATGGAAATGAGGAATCGCATACAGTACAGAGTCTTGCATTGGTTACCCATACCCACACCCACCCACGTACCCACCCATTCCCAATGGGCATGGGTGGGTATGGGTATGCCCATGACCTCATGGGTGGGTACTCAACATCAGGGGACAAACCGATTTACATTACTAATCACCACATGTATGCAGTATATTACAATATTCCTTACTACGCAGTGCGCAGCACTAAACCACGCGGCACCCATGATAAATTTTGACATGTGGCTTGAAAGTTTGCAGTCAGAGAAAAGGGCAACAAACCTGAAGGCCATTAATCCGTGGTAGATTGCATTCAAGAAGCGTGGAAAGTGGGTGTGTTGGTGGGTTTGACATCCCGAAAGTCACCATAGGTGGGGGTGGGTGGGCAAAGCCCGCCAGCACTAAGCGTGGGTACCCAACCAGGACCCCATGTAGGGCTTTGATACTGTATAAAGTGAATGTTATTGCAGCATTTAATCATTGAATAAAGGAATTTCAAGATTATAGCAATTGGCATATTTCTGGTTTGCATCAATGTCTCTCGAAGTTGACACTCGCCGCATCTTATGATCACCAATAGGCATAATTTTAAATTTGATATATCTATAACTTTAAAAATTACATATATATATATACCTGGAACATCCTATGATTGTCACATAGAATAATTTAATTTAATTTCAAATGTATTTAATAATTGACTATATCATAACACAGGATATAATTTTGACATGTTATTGTTACTTATATTACTACTAACTATTAGATTATGAATATCATTTCTTTTAAATTTAATCTCAAATCTATTTATACTAAACTTAAATTCATTTATTGATATTTAATATTCATTTTTTTTTTATTTAATAGATTACCATATATGTCTTAAAATTACATTTACATTTAGATTTAGTTTTTTTTTTTTCAGCTACTTTAACTTAAGTCGCAGCTTAGGGTGCCTATTGATTTTTATCATCATTGCAATGCAGGGGCATGTGACTAAATATAGGATGTAATGATAATGGTTGTTTGTAAAACTTGTTATTATCAATGTTATCATTATCTTACTTTTATTCACGAAATAGTTTTTTTAATGTTTGCTTATGTTATAGATATCTCAATCCTCAGCATCTGCAAAACCTTCATGCTGAAGGTTGTCTCTTGATTTCACTTATCTTTTAGGCATGGTGCCTGTTTCTTTACAGGAATTGCAGGAAGCTGTTGACAGCTTTAATTCTTACTTGAGTGGGAATGATGGGTCCAATGAAAATGGCATACTCGACCAAGGTGTTCTTGAAAAGCTGGGTTTAGGTATTTCATTGTTAAACTCTAAACTAGCACTATATTTTATAGATTGAAGGACAGAAAAGCAGGGCAATGCTTACCTCATTTCTACCCAAGTCTTGATTAAATTAGCTTCCTTAGAGCATATATATCTTTGCTAGTTCAAAATCCTATGTGATACTTTGTATTTTTTGTTATTTCTAAGTATTGATTGTACAAAAACAATTAAAACAACATATTTTCACTGAAATTCAAATGTAATAAATAGTACATAATTTACACTTAACAATATAAAAGAACTAAATCAAGACAAAAGAAATAAGAAAAAGTGTTCTTATCAATACCCTTTATTTCTATTTATAGTCAAGGACAATACATTAGGTTAAATCAATATTATTATGAGAATTTTGAATGATGGTGATCTTCTAGAGGCAATAGTAAAAGAAGGGCATTAATTTCTATTTATTTTTCTTTTATCGTTTGGTGAAGATATTAAATACTTTCTTTTTTTAATTTCCTTGTCCTTTTTCACAAATTGCACTTCAAAGAAGCAAGTGAATCAATGAATTGAATTTATATCCATACATGTCTAGATGTGTTACAGACAAGAGGAATGTTTATATCTTTATATCCATACATGCCTTTCCCTAAGCAGCAGTCACTAGATCTATAGGCTGTATCGATAAGCAGGTATCCACCTTAGTGGAGCTCGCAACATATGAGCTTGACCCTGGAAGATCAAATTAGGGATGCTCCTATTTTCGACGGTTAGGCTAGAGGACTCACCTCAACAAGCCTTCGCCCTAAGAGCCATTCCCCTTATGAGGACTCAGCTCTCCAGTAATTCTCCTCAGCAAAAATCATCCACATTTTACGAATATTCCAACTTTGGCTACATGAGGCCCACATCTACCAAGCCTACAATCATGGTTGGGTTTCACCAACCATGATTTAACTTGTTCACAACAATACTTCTCAAGGAGACTCATCACTCATCTTAAGGGCATTACAAACTCGCACAAAGTACTCATTCATGAGGGATCACCCATGTCCCATGACACTCACTTGTGAGAACTCATCATAGGCATCTTGAGCCATGTTAGAGGCAATGTCATGTCTTACCTTTCCAGTCGAGCCCATGCATATTTGTCAATCCGTACTTGTCATATCATGTATTGTTTCTCTATTTCTAGTTGTAAGATTTATTTTTGTAGTCTTAACCCTATAAATAAAAGTTTATTTTAGACTTCATTCCATCCTTCAATTTATACAGATCATTTAATTTCTCATCTACTCTTCATACTCATTGATTCTTTCATCCTATTCTCTTACTCTCTCACTTGCCAAATTTGTTAATATGATCAATTGCCCCCCCC